TTTTCTTCTAGGGTTTTTATGGTTTTAGATCTTACGTTTAAGTTTTTAATCCATCTTGAGTTAATTATATATGATTTCTTTTAGTTATTTGAACATGTTCATAATAGCTAATTTAAAGTATTTATCTATCAGATTCAAAATCTAGGCTTCCTAGAAGATAATTTCTATTGACTACTATTTTTACGTGTGTGTATAGGAGATAATTTTATGTTTCTTTACATGCCTCTAATTTATTGTGAATCATATAGGTGGCATGGTCATGGTAGAATGAACCCAGACTTATTTTTCTCCAAGTATGCTTTCTTAGTTGATAACTGGATATTTTAATAATATAATGTTGTCATTGTGTTGTTGCTTCTCCTCGTTTAGTGACTTTTTATTTGTTTTTGTTGTTGTTGTTGTTTGTTTAATGCCTTTCCAGAAGTAATTCTATAAAGTTTGTTCTCTTTTTTAGGTATGGCCACTGAGTTCTCTTCTCAGTTTTTCACTTGCCAACTAACTATTAGACAAAAATTTTCTTAAATGTTTTTAACTAAGTCTCTCAGCATTTTCCCAGGGACTCTGAGTGTGTTGGAGCGTGCTTTCAATGCTCTAGCAGGCAGTTTAACACATTATCTTATCCTTCATTTTCTGCTTGCATAGAGCCTCAAGCTGAGAGATTAGGTCTTCTCTGATCTTTCCGGGAGTGTGCACAGACCTATGCATTCAAATTGTTTTTCATGTCCTAGTTAATGTCAGAAATTTTCAAAAGCCCCAATGGAAATTTTATTTCATAGTTTTTTCTTTTAAGCTTTTGTTTAACCTCTTTTTTGCCCTTACTGTCTTCACTACCCCAGTCAACTGCAATTTAAACAATTGCTGCTGATTTTTTAAACAAATACTTTAACAAAAGCTCTTCATCACTGAGTGAACTTTGAGTTGAGTCAAACAAGTACAAGTCCCAAGAGTAGACGTTTCTAGAGAGGTGGCAGGCAGGTTAAATACTGACAATTCTCTGGAGTTGGGGCTTCTTGGAGAGCTCCATTCCCATTCTGTTTCTACCAATTGATTTTTGTCCTGGTCGTGGTTGTCATTGTCCTATTTATTCCCATGTCTAGTAATTTTCTATTGGATGTTAGACACTAAATATTGTATTGTTAAATGTCCATGTTTTTATGTGTTGATTGAAAGCATGTTGAGTTTTGTTTGGCATGCAGTTATATTTCTTGCAGATCACTTTAGTCATTTCAAGTTTTGTTTGTTTGTTTGTTTGTTTGTTTGTTAGCTTCGTTAGCATATGTCTCAGTAGGCTTTACTTCAGGGTTACTGTAGCTCATCTACTAATGTATAACCTTTCTGGGGTTTCTACTGAATGCCTCAGGCATTCATTGAAGTCTCTCTAGTCTGACTAGTTAGAGCTCAAACGTCTTTTAGCCCTAATGAACTTTGAAGATTGCTCAGCTTTCATATTCCTTTTTCTTTGTCCAGCCTTATAGATTCTTGGCTCATGCAAGTACAGCTATGTATTCAGATAAAGAAAAGCCCTATGCAAATCTCTGTAACTCTCTTTTGCACTCTGTCATAAATTTCAGTTACCTCAATTTTCCCTGATTGATTTCTTCCTCTTCAATTCCACGAGATTTTTATGTTAAATTTTGTTTACCTTTCCTTCCACCATTGTCCAGAAAGTGTCTCACAGAGTCAAGGTAAATTATAGGTCTCACATCATTTCTTTCCCTTTATTTAGAAATCACAGTCTGTATTGTCAGTTTTCTAATACCTGAAAATAGTCATCTTCCCCTTTGCCCCCCAGTTTTCTAGTTATTTATGGTGAGAAAACCAGTTCAGTTTCTGTTGTCTCATCATGGCTGTTGGCAGAAACCTCTCTGGATGCCTTTTGACATTCTGTCAAGGAGAACCTTACTAAGTTATTATAGGTCATAGTACCTTCTTTCCAATCTGTGGTAGGAGAATGGTTACCTCCTGGTGGGGTAGAATACTAAAATGAAAAATCCTACGACAAATTAATAACAAGCAAAAATCAAAGTTGTATGTCAAATTTGCTTCAAAGGAATAGATTCTAAGAAGATAAACTCAAAATTTTCTTTTTTATAAAAAAGAAAGGAGATAGTAAAGAAATGTCTAGTTAAAAAATTTTAACTTCTGTCTAACATTTTGCAGTACGAACAGGTACTTAACTCCCCTGAAGAAATTGTAATCTTATGAAGTCTATCAGAAAATTACTTATTTTCTCTGAAATGCTAGTTACTTTCCAGAAGAAGATAATATGTGATATTAGTTAACATACTTCTACTTTACACTTTGAACAGTTTTTTTTCTTGATTATAATCCTCACTTCCTTAAAACCAGTGTCATAGCTGTGGGAAGGAAAATGAAGCCTGGGGAAAGCAACGGTGATACCCTTCATTTCAATACTAAAGCAACTCTGTGGTCATCCCCAACCTCAAAAGTTCCAACATGTATATTATGATTCTGCTGAATTTCAGAGAAGGGATAGCAAAATGACTGGTATGTCTCCAGTGACAACCCAATTTGGTATACTGGAAGCAGATGAGACATGGCAGTTCCAGTACTTAGTGGTTCTAGGCTGTCCTCTAGCTGCAATTAGAGAAAAAGCTTATTTCTATCTTCTGATGCCTTGACAGCCCCTGGTGCAGAGATCCAACTTCACCTAGTGGGGATAGATCACACTTACATTAATTCAGCTTCTCAGGTTTTAATATCCTTACCTTTCTTGCAAAGAAGACTTTAGTGACTAGATATAGATAACAGGGAAGGAGGAAGAGAAAAGGAAAATAACACAAGATAGTAGGTATGATGAAAATTGAACTTCAAGTGACTGTACACTCATTATCTCAAAATTCTGTCCTGGCTCACTTTTAAAATTCCTATTCATGAAATAAAGCATATTTAAATTTGCTTCAATATTTTTTTTTGAGACTGAGTCTCACCCTGTCACTCAGGCTGGAGGGCAGTGGCACGGTCTCTGCTAACTGCAACCTTCACCTCTCAGGTTCAAGTGATTCTCATGCCTCAGCCTCCCAAGTAGCTGGGATTACAAGCATGCACCACTATACCCAGCTGATTTTTATATTTTTTGCAGAGATGGGGTTTTGCTGTTTTGACCAACCTGGTCTCGAACTCTTGGCCTCAAGGGATCCACCTGCGTTGGCCTCCCAAAGTGCAGTGATTACAGGTGTGAGCCACCATGCCGGGCTCCTTCACTGATTAGTTGTTATAATAAATTTGTATACGGTACATTGTAGCCAAAAAGAAAGAGTCTATTTGTCCTATATATTGAAAGGGAGATATATTCCAAGATTTCTGCCTTCTGTGTTTTGTGAAAAGAGAAGTAGCAGCAATATTTTCATTCTGCTAATTTAAAAGTGAAAAGTTTCCATTCCAGTAAGTTAATCACAGGTAGGAACAAGTAGCCTGACGGAAATCATTAGTGAAAGCATCCACTAGCTAACTGCTGAAAGTATCTAGCACCAGATAATTAACTGGTGCAGAAATGACTGTATAGGTTCAACGAAAAAGAAAAAAGGTAAAGGTCCTCATGCCCAAATCAGGAAGACTGTCAGGAAAATTCATGCCATAATAGCAGGATTTTTCAACCTCAGCACTACTGAGATTCGGGGCTAAATGATTCCTTATGACTAGGGGTGAGGCGGTTGAGGGAGATGGAATTTTTAGGAGACTGTCCTGTGCATTGTAAGATGTTTAGCAGCATTCTGGGCCTCTATGCATTAGATGACAGCCGAACATCACCCTTACCAAATGTGGCAATTAAAACACCTCTAGACATTGCCCAACGTCCCCTAGAGGAAGCAAAATTACCTGTGTTTGAGAACCACTTTTCTATACAAAGAGGAATATCAAACATGGGATGCTAAGGCAGGTGGATCACCTGAGGTCAGGAGTTCGAGACCAACCTAGCCAACATGGCAAAACCCCATCTCTACTAAAAATACAAAAAATAGCCGGACATGGTGGTGCATGCCTATAATCCCAGCTACTCGGGAGGCTGAAGCAGGAGAATTGCTTGAACCTGGGAGGCGGAGGTTGCAGTGAGCAGAAATCGCACCACTGCACTTCAGTCTGATCAACAGAGAGAGATTCTGTCTCAAAAATAAATAAATAAATAGCAAATGTCACTTTTTTCCCCATTAATTAGTCTGCTAGGGCTGCCAGAACAAAATACCATGGACTGAGTGGCTTAAATGACAGAAACCTATTTTCTCACAGTTCCAGAGGTGGGAAATCCAAAATCACGGTGTCAGCATGTTTGGTTTCTTCTAAGGCTTCTCTTCTTGGCTTGCAGATGGCCTCTGCTGTGAACTGAATATTTGCATTTCCCCAAAATTCATATGTTGAAGCCTAAATTCTCAATGTACTCACATTTGGGGGTGTAGATTTGGGAAGTAATTAGGTCATGATGATGGAGTCCTCGTGAATGGGATTAGTACCCTTATAAGAAAAGACGTGAGTGATATTGATCTCTCTCTCAGCCACATGAGGATAAAATGAGAAAGCAGCTATCTGTAGGCCAGGAAGAATACTCTCACCAGACACCAGATGCAACAGCACCTTGATATTGGACTTCCTGGCTTCTAGAACTGTGAGAAATAAATTTCTATTGTTTGGAACACCAAGTTTATGGTAATCTGTTAGCAACCTGAACTTACTGAGACAACTGCTTTCTTTCTGTGTCCTCACATGGCCTTTTCTCTGTTTACACACATACCTGGTGACTCTCACTGTGGGTGCCACAGATCAGCACATCAAACAAAGGCATATGCTAAAGCACAGAAGGGATCAAATAAACACAGTAAGTCCAATCTCTTTTTAAATTTACATCAGTCAGATTGGGTTAGAGTTCACTCTTAATTATCCCTTTAAAGCCCTCTTCAAATACAGTCACATTCTGAGGTACTGGAGGTTATGACTTCAACATGTAAATCTGAAGTGATAGAATTCAGTCCATAATACTCCCCTACCTTGGACAGTCAAGTATTATTTGGGGATGGTGGTAGAAAGTAATTCAATTTCTGGAAAAGAACAGAAAGTTAGTTTGAGAAAGCTAGAACTAGAGGCTTTTTTTCCTCAACCCACCTTCCCCTACCCAATCCTTCACCTCTGTGGCATAGCCAACTAATAAATGCTTTATTATCCAAATCTGTCTTAATTATAGATCCAATTTTCACATTGATTGTGACAGAATCAGTGGGAGACTTGGTTATCCAGAGATACTCACTCATTCTAGGTCCTGCTAATATATTCTTTTTCTTGCAGTTTATACTGACAAAATGAGAACACTGTTTTTACAAATCTTTACAGCAATTTGGGAATGTCAATCTAAAGAGTAGGAAATTAGGTTTGGTTATGAAGAGTGTTTTGAACTTGACTTTTTACAATTTTATTTTTAAAAATTCCAAACCATCTCTCCTTTAGGCAACAGATTTTCTTATATTAATTTTTCAATGTACATATATATGTGTGTAATATATATTTTAATATATATAATTGATGATATCAATTCATTATATATGTGTATTAAAATATATACTGCTACTTAGATCTTTTATTAGTTTTCCGTACTTGGTAGCACTTTGCAAAGTATCACCTTGCCAAGAAAAGTCAAAGAAAATAAAAGTTTTAGGTGATGAATTTCATTCAGTGTAGAAAAAAGTGATGCTATTTGGTTGTTGTTGCTCTGAATTACATCCGGTAACTCTGGTAAACAAAAAACTGAAATATGTTCTAAGTGAAATTTTGAATACAATGTAGATTAGATGGAAAGGAGTAGCCAAATTGTTTTGGCTAATAAAGATTCCAAGATTGCAAAGGACTTTATAAATAACAAATAAATATAAGACCCCTTAATGTTGCAGTTTGTTTTAAAGTTTGACCTAAACAATGGGTATATCAAAGTGTTATCAGTATAATTAGAGATTTAATTCTTGTCTTTATATTTTTCTCAGTTAACCATTTTAAATAATAAGTCCACATTAATTTCACAATCAGAAAACAGTTAAACATCCTCCATAAATATTTGTAATGGCTATGCCAGATTGGCTTTCAACAAGAATCTCATATCCCTTCTCATCTGCTTCAGTGTAATACAGAGCCTGACTAGCCATAAGTTGCATTTCTCTGACTCTTTTGTAGCTCCAAATCGTCTTTAGGCTCAACCTAAATTAGCAGGAAGTGACTTAATATAGAGAATTAAGTTAAATTTAAAAATGGCAGAAGGGCTCAGGCCTTTGGCTGTGCCATGAATACCTCTTAGAACAACAATATGGAATTAGCCCACAGAGAAGCTATAACTCCACATAAAATGCATTTAGACTCATTTCCATGAGATTTGGAATACAAAAGTAAGGCAGCAACATGGTTGGAATGATGTTGGGTTTTTCCGCAACAGCGTCAACATTCGTTGTCTTTGTGGGTGTCAAGAGGCAAGGCATAGAACATTTGTTTCTTTCCCCAGTAGATATCTAGAAGGCTTGGCATATCTCCAAAGACATGGCAGTGGCTTCCTGACCCCTGGAACCTGGCCAAATGAGTTCGCATTTTGAGCTCACACTCCCAATTGGTAGCTTTCTGTTGAGAGTTATAGCTTCTATGTGGGCTAATCCCACAATGTTGTTCTAAGGGGAATTCATGGCACAGCCAAAGGCCCGAGCCCCTCTGCCAATTTTTTATTTAACTTAATTCTCTATATGAAGTCACTTCCTGCTTAACATAGCCAGAGAGCCTTATATTTTGTGCAAATGAAGGCCAATGTACTAAAAACTGTAGTATACCATTTTAAATAGTCAATTTATAACTCTTTGTTAGGTTGTTGTAAGTAAATGATACTGAAGAGAAGCGAAAGAGATCTTAGTCCTTATTTCTTTTTTATTTCACTAATGAGTGATCTGATTGTCTTATGAGCAGTTAAAATGCAAAGCACAATGCATGTGTGCAGTTAAAATAAACCAAATTCTGATCATAGTTATTAAGAAGGCTGCACTGGCACAAATGGTATATAAGATCAACATTTAGGGGTTTTCACAGCTGGAGGTAAGGATAGGGGGATTAAAAGTTAGAAAGAAAACTGACAGAATGACTGTAAAAAGTGGAGGAAAGGGAGCAGTCAAAGATGAATCAGGTTTTGCACTTGAGAGTCTGTGAGAATACTGATGTCTTGAAAGGAATGAAAAATGAAAAAAAGCCATGCAGTTGGGTTTGTGATGAAGATAATAAGCCCAGATTTAAACACATAAAGCACAGGTTTTGTTAAAGGGGATAGATGTTTCCAGTAGGGTAGTGGAAAAAATTGAGCTTATTGGGAATATTACCCAGGAGATTAATCATAGAATTATCCAACTAAACCAAAGTGATAAGATGAAGAACCAGGATTTTTGGAAAAGAGAGAAGGGGAGGAGGCCACAGATCAGCACATCAAACAAAAGTGCGTCCTAAAGCGCAGAGGAGATCAAAGAAACACAGTAAGTCCAAGCAAGTAAAAGTGGGCAGGGGTGACTGAAAATCTAAGTGTGGGAATACTAGGCTCAAGCAAGGACATTTCTTTCACAAGAACCTTGGTGCATTTGTCCACGCCAGGAGCCTTCAGGAGCTGGGCCAAAAATGGACAAGGTGCAAGATATCTAGAAGAAAATGCCAGTAAGCAATTGACAATGGCTGGGTCTTTAGAGAGTGGTTAAGGCTACAGATTTGGATGTTGGGGCCATTCCTATTGAGGTAATAGTTGACATCACTGATGGTGACACACAGGGAGAAAAAAGTGTGCCTTCACAATAATGGGATGATAGTGGAAAAATCAGCTAAATGAAACTTAAAGAGAAGACGGTGAAAGATAAAAAAAGACAAACAGAGCAGTACTATTTACTGCACAGAGAGGCAGAACTACAAGTGGCTAAGTGTGGTTGACAGCATCAAGTGCTGTTGAAAAGTGGAAGACGGGATTGTTAAGTGACCATTGAACATAGTTAACCAAAAGGTCATTTGTCACTGATGACCTTCACGAAGAGAATTTGATGAACATAGCCTGAGTAAATAAAAAAGCCAAGAGATTAAGGAAGTTGCAGATGGTATTATGAGAGGCTATTTTGGGCTTCCAGCTTAATCAGGAGGGAGAGATGAAAAGTCCAGGCTATTCTTGTTCATATTTCTTTGTAATTGATGTCTTAGACTCCTGCATTTTTCTTCAATACTTTTTGTCTTAGAATAATTGACTTCACCTTTCTCTTTGTACAAAGGTAAAACTAATGCATTTAAAAATAGCATCCATTCTATTGAACGTGGGCAGGAGGTAGAAGACACAAAGAATACCATTTCTGCCAAATGATAAAATAACTTGGATCTTTCGGTGCTTATAGAGTACACATCCCAAGATGCCAAGAGCTGAAGAGGTGATAATGAAAGGTAGCTTCAAGGGCTAAAAGAGTTAAGAGCAAGCTTAGAGTGTCAGACTGATTTTTCCCTTTAAAGATCTTTCATTTTCCTATCCAACAATATAAATTTTTGTGTTAGTGGAGAGTGGAGGAGAATGAAGTTGGCAAAAGACTATCAACTTTTGAGTCAGAGAGTACTTTATATTTCCTATACAACCATGTCTAGAACATCCATTTGAGGCTGGCCAGGGACACGCAATACCCCAGCTCTCATAAGTTTCCCTCAGGCAACATAAAATCAGACCAATTATTAGACAATGTAAACCAGACTAGTCTTTAAGTTACCTAAGTTACCATGGCAACATAGTACTATGAAAATGGGTACTGAGTAGGGAGCCCTTTAAGAGGTAATATTGGGAACTCAGGGTCAACGTGAAAATATATATCTCTATGTATGTGTACATATAATATGTCTATAGGGATATGTGTATATAGACATGTTCTGCCTTGAACATTCTTCCTCCAGACCTCCACAAAATTGACTACTTCTCTTCACTCAGGTTCTACCTTAAATGTAACCTCCTCAATGGCGTTTTCTCTAAGAATCCCCTGTAAGGTAGCTCCACTACTCCTGCCTGTGTGCCTAATGTCATTCCTCATGACATTACCCTATTTTCTTCAAAGCATTTATCACTTTTTTAAATTATCTTGTTCATTTTTAAAAATGTATAGCCTTTTTCCTTCTTCATTTCCAGTGTTTATAACAGTGTCTGGAATATAGTAATTGATCAAAAAATAATTCTTAAATGAATACTCCTAAATAGTAACAAAAATTACCTCTTCAGAAAGATAAGAGGACACTGAGGGGAGTTAAGGAAATAGTCTCTTTAGAATAGAAGAAAATGAAATATCCTATAGATAAAAACAAGATATTGAAGATGAAAGAAAGAAAAAGTAGGTGTCTGATGGAGTAATAATTAGAGGATTGATTTAACTTTGGAAAAAAGGAACAACTTTTTTAGTTAGAGGAACCAGTGAGAAGGAAGGTTAAATAAGAAGAGATTAGATAAAGCTTTAGGGGGAAAGAAGTAAATTACTAAAGAAGCATTAAGAAAGAGGGAGGCTGAATATTAGAGAAATTTTATTTTCTTCTTTTAAATTTTTTTTTATTATACTTTAAGTTCTGGGACACATGTGCAGAACGTGCAGGTTTGCTACATAGCTGTAAATGTGCAATGGTGGTTTGCTGCACCCATCAACCCGCCATCTAGGTGTTAAGCCCCGCATGCATTAGGTATTTGTCCTAATGCTTTCCCTTCCCTTGCCCCTCACCCAGCAACAGAACCCAGTGTGTGATGTTCCTCTCCCCATGTCTACATGTTCTCATTGTTCAACTCTCACTTATGAGTGAGAATTTGTGGTGTTTGGTTTTCTGTTCCTGTGTTAGTTTGCTGAGAATGATAGTTTCCAGCTTCAACCATGTCCCTGCAAAGCACATGAACTCATTCTTTTTTATGGCTGTATAGTATTCCATGGTGTATATGTGCTACATTTTCCTTATCCAGTCTATCATTGATGGGCATTTGGTCAGTTCCAAGTCTTTCCTATTATGAATAGTGCTGCAAGAAACATATGTGTGCATGTGTTTTTATAGTAGAATGATTTATAACCCTTTGGAAATATACCCAGTAATGGAATTGCTGGGTCAAATCGTATTTCTCGTTCTAAATCCTTGAGAAATAACCACACTGTCTTCCACAATGGCTGAACTAATTTATACTCCCACCAACAGTGTAAAAGCATTCCTATTTCTCTACATCTTCTCCGGCATCTGCTGTTTCCTGACTTTTAATGGTTGCCATTCTAACTGGCACAAGATGCTATCTCATTGTGGTTTTGATTTTCATTTCTCTAGTGACCAGTGATGATGAGCTTTTTTTCATATGTTTGTTGGCCACATGAATGTCTTCTTTTGAGTAGGGTCTGTTTATATCCTTCACTCACTTTTTGATGGGGTTGTTTGTTTTTTTCTTGTAAATTTGTTTACATTCTTTATAGATTCTGGATAACAGCCCTTTGCCAGATGGATAGATTGCAAAAATTTTCTTCCATCCTGTGGGTGGCCTGTTCACTCTGATAATAGTTTCTTTTGCTGTGCAGAAGCTCTTTCATTTAATTAGATCTCATTTGTTGATTTTGGCTTTTGTTGTGATTGCTTTTGGTGTTTTAGTCATGAAGTCTTTGCCCATGCCTATGTCCTAAATTGTATTGCTTAGGTTTTCTTCTAGGGTTTTTATGGTTTTAGGTTTTATATTTAAGTCTTTAATTCATCTTGAGTTAATTGTTGTATAAAGTGTAAGGAAGGGATCCCGTTTCAATTTTCTGCATATGGCTAGCCAGTTTTCCCAGCACCATTTATTAAATAGGGAATTTTTTCCCCATTGCTTATTTTTGTCAGGTCTGTCAAAGATCAGATGGTTGTAGATGTGTGGTGTTATTTCTGTGGCCTCTGTTCTGTTCCATTGGTCTATATATCTGTTTTGGTACCAGTACCATGCTGTTTTGGTTACTGCAGGCTTGTAGTATAGTTTGAAGTCAGGTAGCATGATAACTCCAGCTTTGTTCTTTTTGCTTAAGATTGTCTTGGCTATACAGGCTCTTTTTAAGAAACTCACTTAAAACCACACAACTACATGGAAACTGAACAACCTGCTCCTGAATGACTACTAGGTAAATAATGAAATTAAGGCAGAAATAAGTACGTTTTTTGAAACCAATGCAAACAGACACAACATACCAGAATCTCTGGGACACAGCTAAAGAAGTGTTAAGAGGGAAATTTATAGCACTAAATGCCCACATCAGAAAGCAGGAGTGATCTAAAATCAACACTCTAACATCACAGTTAAAAGAACTAGTGAAGCAAGAGCAAACAAATTCAAAAGCTAGCAGAAGACAAGAAATAACTAAAATTAGAGAAGTAAGGTTTTTTGAAAAAACCCTTTAAAAAAATCAATGAACCCAGGAGCCGGTTTTTTGAAAAGATTAACAAAATAGATAGACTGCTAGCCAGACTAATAAAGAAGAAAAGAGAGGAGAATCATATAGACACCATAAAAAAATGATAAAGGGGATATCACCACTGATCCCACAGAAGTGCACTCTACCATCAGAGAATACTATAAACACCTCTGTGCAAATGAACTAGAAAATCTAGAAGAAGTGGATCAATTCCTGGACACACACACCCTCCCAAGACTAAACCAGTAAGAAGTTGAATCCCAGACTAGGCCAATAACAATTTCTGAAATTGAGGCAGTAATTAATAGCCTACCAACCAAAAAAAGCCCAGGACCAGATGGATTCACAGCCGAATTCTACCAGAGGTACAAACAGGAGCTGGTACCTTTCGTTCCGAAACTATTCCAAACAATAGAAAAAAGAGGGACTCCTTTCTAACTCATTTTATGAGGCCGGCATCATCATGATACCAAAGCCTGGCAGAGACACAGCAAAAAAAGAAAATTTCAGTCCAACATCCCTGAATGAACATCAATGCAAAAGTCCTCAATAAAATACTGGCAAACCGAATCCAGCAGTACATCAAAAAACTTATCTACCACAATCAAGTCAGCTTCATCCCTGGGATGAAAGACTGATTCAACATACATAAATCAATAAATGTAATCCATCACATAAACAGAACCAATGACAAAGATCACATGATTATCTCAATAGATGCAGAAAATGCCGTCAGTAAAATTTAACACCCTTTCATGCTAAAAACACTCAATTAACTAAGTAGTGATGGAACATATCTCAAAATAATAAGAGCTATTTATGACAAACCCATAGCCAATATCATACTGAATAGGCAAAAGTTGGAACATTCCTTTTGAAACGGACACAAGACAAGGATGCCCTCTCTCACCACTCCTATTCAACATAGTATTGGAAGTTCTGACCATGGCAATCAGGCAAAAGAAAAAAATAAAGGGTACTCAAATAGGAAGACTCAAATTGTCTCTGTTTGCAATGACATGATTGTATATTTAGAAAACCCCATTGTCTCAGCTCAAAAACTCCTCAAGCTGATTAGCAACTTCAGCAAGGTCTCGGAAAACTAATGTGCAAAAATCACGAGAGTTTCTGTACACCAATAATAGAGAGCCAAATCATGAGTGAACTCCCATTCACAATTGCTATAAAGAAAATAAAATACTTAGGAATGCAACTTACCAGGGAACGTGAAGGACCTCTTCAAGAGAGAGAGAGAGCAAGAATGGAACAGCACCTGGAAAAGCTGAAGGCACTCAAGGCTAGCCTGGGAAAGGAGCCAAGGAGGCGGTACAGCTCAGAGCCACAGAGGCTGAGCTGCCCCAGGCCTTGGGAACCCACCCATTACATCAGTATGCCCTGAATGTGAGTCATGAAGTCAAAGGAGATTATGTTGGAGTTTTACATTTTAATGAATGTCCTGCTGGGTTTCAGACTTGCATGGGGCCTGTGGTCCCTTCATTATGGCAAACGTCTCCCATTTGGAATGGGAACATTTACCCAATGCCTGTATTCCCATTGTGTCTAGGAAGTAACTAAATTGCCTTTGATTTTACAGGGTCATAGGCAGAAGGGACTTGCCTTGTCTCAGATGAGACTTTGGACTTGGACTTTTGAGTTAATGCTGAAATGAGTTAAGACTTTGGGGGACTGTTGGGAAGGCATGATTGCATTTTGAAATGTGAGGAGGACATGAGATTTTGAAGGGGCCAGGGACAGAATGATATGGTTTGGCTCTGTGTCCCCACCTAAATCTCATCTCAAATTTTAATCTCCACATATCAAGGGAGGGACCCAATGGGAGATAATTGGATCATGGGGGCAGTTTCCCCCATGCTCTTCTTGTGATAGTGAGTTCTCACGCGATCTGATAGTTTAAAAGTGTTTGGCAGTTTCCCCCTTGCTCTGTCTCTCTCTCTCCTGCTGTTGTGTGAGATATGCCTTGTTTCCCCTTCATCCTCTACCACTATTGTATTCCCGCAGGCCTCCCCAGCCATGCGGTACAGTAAATCAATTAAATCTCTTTCCTTTATAAATTACGCAGTCTCAGGTAGTTCTAAAGCAGTGTGAAAACAGACTAATACATAAGGTCTCTCTAAACACCACCAAGAGCACCAGGATAGGATTCTGAATAGCAGTGAATGTGTATCCATGGTCCTGATTGGTAACTTAAGACTTGATGCACACTCGGCAGTTTCCCTGTCCTTCCCAAGTGCCGCAGCCTCCATCCTGCGACTTTTATTCCTTACATCAGTGGTTCCCAAAAGGTTGGGGACCAGGGACAAGTTTCATGGAAAATAATTTTTCTACAGATCCCAGGTAGGGATGGTTTTGGGATAAACTGTTCCACCTGAGATCGTCAGGCATTAGTTATATTCTCATATGGAGTGCACAACCTAGATCCCTCGCACACACAGTTCACAATAGGGTTCGTGCTTCCATGAGAATCTAATACTACTGCTGATCTGACAGGAGGTAGAGCTCAGGTGGTAATGCTTGCTCACCTGCCACTCACCTCCTGTGGCTCAGTTCCTAACAGGTCATGGACTGACACCAGTTCATAGCCCAGGGGTTGGGAATACCTGCCTTATATTATTCCATACATACATTATTCCATACATGTAGATTTGTCTTTCACATTTTAAGGCCCTAGAGAAGCATATTTATAATTTATAAAGTTCTGACAACCCTCTACATTCCCCACACCCATAGTTCTAGAGAATGTTTTACACCTATTTTTTCTAATGGAATATATCCATCTAATAAACAGTAAGTGCATCAAGGGCCTTTGCTCTCCCTATCTGGTGATGCCAAACTGCAAGGGAATATTTCCACACTGACAGAGGGCGAGACTGTCCCTTCATACTATCATCATCTTTAAAGATGCCTAAGTTCCTAATTCCATTAGTCAAAGGTATATACAGGGTTAAGAGAAATGAGCAGGGAATCTTGCAGTTTCCCCAGGGTTGTTAACACTGTAGAGCTATTACCTAAGGTGCAAGGGAAAGGAGAAGTTTTCAGATTACAAAAAGAGTATCAACTCTCTACCAGAAGCTATGACCTTCACTAGAAAGCCACAACCACTCCACTGCAACAGAGCAGAGAGAGAGCCAGACTGACACAGAACCTGACACTCTCTAATCTTCTGCTAGTGTCTGAACACCTGCATTAGTCCATTTTGTGTTGCTACAAAGAAATACCTGACACTGAGTAATTTATAAAGGAAAGAGATTTATTTGGCTCATAGTTCTGCAGGCTGTACAAGCATGGCACCAGCATCTGTTTGGCTTCCGGTGAGACCTCAGGAAGGTTTTACTCATGGCAGAAGGTGAAGAGGAAGCAGGTGTGTCACATGGCAAGAGACAAAGCAAGAGAGAAGATATCAAGAAAGAAAAGGAACACGCCAGACTCTTTAAACAACCAAATCTCATGTAAACTAATAGAGTGGGAACTCACTTATCACCAAGGGGATGGCACCAAGCCATGCATTAAGGATTTGCCCCCATGACCCAAACACCTCCCACTAGGTTCCACCTCTAATATTGGGGATATTTCAACATGAAATCCAGAGGGGACAAATATCTAAGATATACAACACCCAACTAGAAGACGTAAGTCAAAGGAGCTGTAGATGCATGCACCATTCAGGTCAGCTTCTTTGGGCAAATGACAAGATGGAGAAGAGTGAAGAGAGGACCTGGAGGGGTAAATTGAAAATTTTCTAGCATGCCCTTGCTCCATTAAGGGGCACTTATGTGTGTCCTGGACTAGAAAGAAAGGTATTTCCATGGAATGAAAAAGAGTAATCCAAATGGGATGACTGACAGGTGGGGCTTACTAATGCTGAGTATGGGAGGGGAGGGGGATGCAAAGGGAAACTCAGCTTCCTCAGTATCAGGTCAGTGCTTATTCTGGGTTTCTCAGTCTCAAGTTCTCCTCTCCAAATGGTCCTTCCCTCCTTCCTCTTTTTTAGCACCATTGTTTTCACTCATCTTTGAGAAAAGGAAACAAGCCTGCAACCAAATTCGTATGTCTTTCACTGTAGCCAGTAGTTTGTGGCTCAATCATTGAGTATTTTTTAGTCTTCATTCAAATTTCACAGTAGGTAGCCTAGGTCTACTACAACAGGGTCTTAGGGCACACAAAAAGGAATTCGTAGGCAGTGTTGGGGTGAGGAAAAATAAACTAAAACTTCAGTGTGCAACCATCCACATAAATTTTTATAGTAAGAGTAACAAAAATATGTTCGTGCTATTGAATGTAGAGGACAGAGGGAAGCATGCAAGGTGAATATGTGTTTTATGACCCCCATGAGACTCCTGAAATGTGATTTTTAAAAAAGAGTGCTTTCCCTCTGCTATTAGTGAGGTATGATTAGGTGAGAAGACAGGACAGTTTGTTGTTTTACTCAGAAGTTTCAGTATGATATACTTATATTCAGAATAGCTGAAATCAAACTAAAGTAAATAATTTGATCGTTGTGTTAATACTGGAAATTTGAGCTTTGATATGTAGTAAATGGAACATGCATTAAGAATGATTCCCCTGATTGTGCAGCATTGTGCGGAGAGGTAAGCGCGATGTCCACGCGTTGCTAAGTATTAGTATGCCCATATTCTGTTAGACTCAGAGCCCTAGGGGTATACTAAGTCAACATCTGGGGTTTATTTAGGCCAGGGCTATCTGGTCTGATTTCCCTTAGCAACTGAACTACCTTTTTTCACCCACTCTTTGCTATACATCTTCCCCTTCTTTGGAATTCTACTCTTGCAGAGTTTGTACCATTCTGTTTCAATATTTACATATGCAATGCTGGAAATGATGTTGTGGATCCACATGGGAAGAAAATGTTCTAGATCGTTGTATTGAATGCAGTGTCTGGATGTGACGTTTTTGACAGCGTAAGACTCCAGGCACACAGTCTAGGAATGGGGATACTCAAGTTGCAGTGCAGTGACCATAAGTTTGCGAATCGCACCTGACTTGATTAGGGAAGCAAATTCGTACGGTCGCTTGCCAGTGGGAGGTAGAAGGAGGTGTGAGGGATTAGATTTAGAAGTGATCCGTTTACATGTCCTAACTCCAGAGGACATTCTCAGGACTGATGATACCGTACTTAAAAGTTGTTGTTTACCTTTTTTTTTTTTTTTTTGTTTTTTTTTTTTAAAAGATGGAATCTCACTGTTTCACCCAGGCTGTAGTACTCAGTGTCATGATCTTGGCTTACTTCAACCTTGTTCCACGGTTAGCAGTTCTTCTGTCAGTCCAAGTAGTGGTATTTTAGCTGTCCGCGACCGTCTGGTCTGTATTTTTTGTATTTTTAGTAGAGACGGGTTTCCAGTCTATGTCAGCGAGGGCGGCTCAAACGTCCTGCCTCAAGTGATCCACCCGCTCGGCTCCCAAAGTGTTAGGCTTAACAGGTGTGAACCCCCATGCCCTGGGCCTAGACTTTTTTTTTTTTTTTTTGATTGCTATTTAATACTAACCTCTCAAATAAAATTTGGCTGCCGCTACGAGTCCCAGGTGAGGGGATGGTAGTAATTCATGTGACTTGCCAGGCCCCTAGTAAATCGTCTGACTTGTGTGTTGTTTGGTGGTTTCCCCATTGTAAGCAATTAATGATAGCAGAAAAGTACCATAGATCAGTAGAATGTTCAAGGTAAAGTCTATTGAATTTCCATTTGAGGTTTGGACATACAAAAGTCATGCAAATGTGAGTTGCTAAATCTACTTAGTGTAACACAAGTAGTATTATTTATCAAGATAGTCCTCATATACTATACTATTTTTATTCACAGAATAAACACCATGAGGGTAACTTATTAGCGGTATATCATGAGTAAGAATACTTTAAATGGCCTCAAGCGCTTGGCAGTCTGATCTAAAGTGTCCAGTGCGTTATCATTGTATTATATCAGGAGCAGGCAGGTTTCGGTTTCTTTCGTACTATTGCTACGGGTATTTCGAGATCCACTGAAGGTCAAAATGACGCGCGAAAAATCAATTTGCAGGAGTGGGGTCACCCCACGCCTTTTTTTAGTTAAGTTGTGCCCGCAATGCTGTCATACAGACATATTTAGCCACATGGAGCCGACTTATGTGGCAAATCTGACTAAAGCTATACTATGCATGGTAGTTTTTCAGGGTGGAAGAATAGAGATGGGCAGTTTGCTAAAGAGAAAGGGTTGGGAGTACA